ACAGACCAAAAACATGCATGTTAGGCTGATTGGTAACTCTAAATTGCCCCTAGGTGTGAGTGAGAGAGTGAATGGTTGTTTGTCTCGTTTGTCTCTATGTGGCCCTGTGATGGACTTGCGACCCGTCCAGGGTGTACCCCGCCCCTCGCACAGTGATTGCTGGACATGGGCACCAGCGACCCCCGTGACCCAAAATGGAATAAACGGGTAAAGAAAATGGATGGATGGATGGATATGTGGCGGTTCTGGGTTTGGGTTTTGGGTTCTGTTTATTGCATTTATGATTCAGTGCAACAAAATCAATTTAAAAGGAAACAGATCATTTTAATACTTGGTTTATTTATATACAGTAATAACTTTAACTTTAATTGCTGGATGTCTGGCCCCTGAGCTGCTGGCTCTCAGTAACTGTGGCCCCCTGAGCAGTTTAGTTGAACAGCTGCTTTAGAGGGTGGAATACAGTTTATTCCATTTCCAAAACCTAAACTGAGTCTGGAAAAATGTAAAAGATGGATAAAGGCTGGTGGCCAACCTCAAGATCAGCTGAATACAACAGATATAAACAGGAAGTGCCACATGTTCATCTGTATGAAAGTAAATGCAAGTAAATCCTCCATTTTCTGTCATAATTACAAATTTATTCTTAAGTCTTCGTTTGTTATGATCTAAACTGATTTTGTACAAAGTGTTTATTAGGCTGTGTAGTGTAGAGCAGAGTGCTACGTCTGTAGCATCTTAGCGAGCATGTCTGTATTGCACGCCGCTAACTTAGCGCTACTTCTTCTTGTGCCGAGTTTTCTAAAATATTTATTGAATCAAGTGTTTACTTATGGAGGTAAACATAGGTGTTTAACAGCCCATTAAAATACACCAGAATGAAGGAAATGCATCTACTTTATTCAAAATTTTCTGGAGGAGGACCCCCAGAAACCCCCCCCCAACTCCGGGTCCCCCCCCCCCCCCCATTATGAATGCTTCTAACACCAGTGGCTACCACATTATTCAAGCCATGAGCTATTGTCAGCACTGAGGGCTAAGCACCCGTATAGGTCAGATTCTAGAATTGCTCCTGTAGAACAGAGCAAAATATGTTGATTGTAATCCAACAATTTTCAGTCAGGTCATCTGGACAGTTTCTTTTTTTGCTGAAAGGTTTCACCTTCCATCCAGAAGGCTTCATCAGTCAAGGAAACGCACAACAAAACTGATTCTTCCCTCAAACAGCTTACTCCAAAGTGGAACAAACCAGTTATGTTGATGCTAAGATGGTGTCTTTGGCACGCCCCCTCCTCTGGAGCTGGCCCTCTTCCTCGTCGACAGTCATGTCAAACTGGTTCAAAACCAAAAAAGTCCATGCTCAATAATCCAATAATCCAGCTCCAGAGGAGGGGACGTGCCAAAGACACCATCTTTGTACCGACATAACTGATTTGTTCCACTTTGGAGTAAGCTGTTTGGGGGAAGAATCAGTTTTGTGTTGTGTGCTTCCTTGACTGATGAAGTCTTCTGGATAGAAGGTGAAACGTTTCAGCAAAAAAAAAAAAGGAAACTGTCCAGATGACCTGACTGAAAATTGTTGGATTGTATACCTGGATTATTGAGCATGGACTTTTTTGTTTTTTATGTTTATTGTAAGTTATTGTAACTGAACTGTTAAAAAAAATCAACAATAATAAATAATTTTCAATCCTCCAACCCGTTTGTCATTAGCTACATGCCTGTCACAAAGCTAACATTTAGAAAACATAGCATAAGCCATATTGCCTTGTAAAACTTTATCTAGAACAATAAATCTAACATAGTGGTAAAATATATCAGTGTTAGTAAAGTTTTCTTTGTCATCCTTTATGAAATGAAATTGTTTGTCTGAAATCTTTACTTCTCTGCAAAGAAAAAAAACCCTGCTGTGATCAATACTAATTAGACCTTCACCATACATGACTGTTTAAACAATGAACATGTAATGGTGTCTCTTTGTTTAATTTATATTTTTGTAACTCACTTGAAAATTTTATGGTGAATAGTGGACAGAAAACGTGAACGCACGTTAGGAAGACTGTTTTTATGACCAGTGCACCACTTGTAAACCTGCTGTGGGACTACATATAGCGTGGATCGTATTAGCTTAGCTTTGTGGTTGCTAACAGCTGCGCTAAATAAACAAGCCCTGCTCCTCTCCCTGTTTTCTTAGATTCTTTGGGATGTACAATGCTAAAAAAATTTAATACAAAACAGGTTGAGCAGAGTAAGTAAAGACAGTAGCATAGTGAAGAAATATGGTCAGTTTGTCCTCCAGCAGTCTAAGCCTATAGCAGCATAATTAAGGGACAGCTCAGGAAACCCAAGCCGACCCTAACTATAGGATTTAACAAAAAGGAAAGTCTTAAGCCTAGTTTTAAAACTGGATAATGTGTCAGCCTCATGGACAGAAACTGGAAGTTTGTTCCACAAGAGAGGAGCCTGATAACTGCAAGATCTGCCTCTCATTCTGCTTTTGGAAACTCTAGGAACCGCAAGTAAACCTGTAGCCTGAGAGCGAAGTGCTCTGTTAGGAAAATATGGAACAATAAGATCTGTAATATAAGATGGAGCTAGGTTGTTGAGAGCTTCTAACCTACAGGTTAGAAGTAAGATTTTGAATTCAATTCTGGATTTGACAGAGAGCCAATGGAGAGAACCTAAAACTGGAGAGATATTATCTCTCCTACTAACTCCAGTTTAGACTCTGGCAGCAGCATTTTGGATCAACTGAAGACATTTTAAAGATGTATTTGGACATCCAGATAATAAACCATTGCAATAGTCCAGTCTAGATGTGACAAATGCATGGACCAGTTTTTCTGCACCTTTTTTAGATAATATGTTTCTAATTTTAGCGATATTACGCAGGTGGAAGAAGGCAGTTCTAGTAATGTTTTTAATGTGGGGGTTAAAAGACATGTCCTGACCAAAAATAACACCAAGATTTGTAATATAAGTACTGGAGGTAAGATTAATGCCATCCAAGGATGGCAAAAGACTGAAAAATTAATTCCTAAGGTGCTCAGGTCCAAAAACCAAAACTTCAGTCTTGTCTGTATTCAGAAGCAAAAAATTAAGGGTCATCCAGGTTTTTATGTCTTTAAGACATGCTTGTAGTCTAAGTAGCTGATTGGATTCATTGGGTTTCATGGACAAATGTAACTGTGTATCATCAGCATAATAATGAAAATGTATCCCTGCTGTTTAATAACTTTACCTAATGGAAGCATATTTATTTATTAATCTTTATTTAACCAGGCATATCCCATTGAATGGTAAAATGGTAAATGGGCTGTACTTATATAGCGCCTTTATCTTATTTCAAGATACTCAAAGCGCTTTACACTACAATTTGCGTCCTCATTTACCCATTCATACAGCACTCTACTAGATCTCTACAAAGCTAATTGAACAAATCATTCTAATGAGACTAATCAGTGCTTTAGATCACATTCAGACACTGATGGGACACACATCAGAGGCTATGAGGGGTTCAGTGTCTTGCCCAGGGACACTTCAGCATGTGACTGCTGGTGGATTCGAACCCCGAACTCTTGCATTGGAGGACGACTGTTTTAACCACTCAGCCCCAACCTCCCCTTGAGGTCACAGATCTCTTTTGCAAGGGAGGCCTTTGTCTGAAAGCAGCCTAACATGCATGTTTTTGGTTTGTGGGAGGAAACCGAAGTACTTGGAGAAAACCCACGCAAGCACGAGAAGAACATGCAAATTCCACACAGAAAGACCCCAGGTCCAACCGGGGATTGAACCCAGGGTCTTCTTGCTTTAAGGCAACAGTGCTAACCACTGAGCCGTCGTGCTGCCATAAAGTAAAGAGTATTCGTCCAAGCACTGAGCCCTGAGGAGCTCCACGACTAACTTTGGTGTATGAATAAGATTCATTATTTCTATTTACGAACTGGAATCTATCAGGTTAATATGACTTAAACCATTTTAGAGTTATTCCTGTAATCCCAATATCATATTCAAGCCTCTGTAATAAAATATTGTGATCAATTGTATCAAATGCAGCACTGAGGTCTAACAGGACCAGTATAGACACAAGTCCATTGTCTGAGGCCATGAGAATATCATTAGTGACTTTTACTAGTGTTGTTTCTGTGCTATGATGAGCTCTAAACCCTGACTGAAACTATTCAAACTGATTATTTCTTTGTAGATGTTCACACAACTGACCTGCAACTATTTTCTCTAGAATTTTTGAGATGAGTATTAGATTAGATATAGTTCTATAGTTGGCCAGAATTTCTGAATCATGGTCAGACTTCTTAAGTAAAGGTTTAATTACAGCAACCTTTAAGCGCTGTGGTACGTAACACTGTATTTATTTTCTTGACCTTGTCTTTCTAAACTGAGATATCCCTAAACTTTAAATGATGTTTACAACTCTGTCTCTAGTCCAATCTTGCTGGTAAACAGGGGACAGCTGCCACACATAAAATAAAGAGAGAAATAGCTAAAGGCTGATGGAAACTCACGTTTGTTTTGGCCAAAACCTTTTATGAGAAAGCAAAGTAGATGTTTTTTTCCTGTCCTTTTCTGGGCCCCTAAATGGGTACAGATGTTGTTACAGGGAAGCCATTCAGTAGGCAGTTGCAGTTGCAAAAAATATTTTTTAAAATAATGGTGTCTTGAAATAACAACTATATTGTCCCATTATGTGGTACCTATTTTGTTAATTCATCATCTTTCTTGCAGGGATGTTCACCCTCACAGAAGTAGCTTCTCTGAATGACATCCAACCAACCTACAGGATTCTGAAACCATGGTGGGATGTCTTTATGGATTATCTCGGTATTGTCATGCTGATGCTGGCTATATTTTCTGGAACCATGCAGCTAACCAAAGACCAAGTGGTATGTCTTCCTATCTTGGAGCAGACTTCAGAGGGTTCTGGAGGTTTCTATGGAACCCAACCACCAGACCCAGCTGATAGTTTCTGGAACAAAGAAAATTCAATTGGGGAGCAAGCCGCTCCTCTAATGGCTAAAAGGCCTCCTAACAGTGTCTCTCCTACAATTCACCTCCCCCAGTCTCCTGCTTTTGGGCAGCCCCAGCCTTCAAATGTCAGGACCAAGCTGGATTTTCAGCAATATGTTTTTGTCAACCAGATGTGCTATCATGTTGCTCTTCCATGGTATTCCAAATACTTCCCATACCTTGCTCTAATTCATACTATTGTATTAATGGTTAGTAGCAATTTCTGGTTCAAATACCCAAAGACAAGTTCAAAAGTAGAACATTTTGTCTCCATTCTTGGAAAATGTTTTGAGTCCCCCTGGACTACCAAAGCTCTGTCTGAGACTGCTTGTGAGGACTCAGAAGAGAACAAGCAGAGGCTGGCTGGTGCATCCTCTCTCCTTAAACATCTGTCCACGTGCAGCGAGGAGGGCAGTCCAAACCAGTCGGCCCAAATCTTGTCTAAATCTGGTGTTGCCTTTTCTGCTGAAAAGCTTGTAAGTGAAATTCCCTCCATGACCATACTGGACAAAAAAGATGGTGAACAAGCAAAGGCTTTGTTTGAGAAAGTCCGGAAATTCCGTGTCCATGTGGAAGACAGTGACTTGATTTACCGTCTTTATGCTATTCAGACAGTCATCAAAACTGTAAAATTTATTTTGATCTTGTCTTACACAACAACATTTGTGGCATCTATCAACTTTAATCATGTGTGTGAACCCGAAATAAAGCATTTGACAGGATATGTCAAGTTCCACTGCACACATAATATGGCTTTTATGTTAAAAAAGCTTCTCATCTGTTATATTGTGCTTATATGTGTTTATGGTGTTATCTGCATTTACACACTGTTCTGGCTCTTTCGGCGACCTCTGAAGGAGTATTCCTTTGAAAAAGTGAGAGAGGAGAGCAGTTTCAGTGACATTCCTGATGTTAAAAATGATTTTGCATTTCTCCTCCACATGGTTGACCAATACGACCAGTTGTATTCAAAGCGCTTTGGGGTTTTTCTTTCTGAGGTGAGTGAAAACAAACTTCGGGAGATCAGCCTTAACCATGAGTGGACCTATGAGAAGTTGCGACAGCATGTGACCCGCAATCCACAAGAAAAGTTGGACCTTCATCTTTTTATGCTGTCTGGTGTACCGGATGCTGTGTTTGACCTCACGGACCTGGATATTCTGAAATTAGAATTAATCCCAGAGGCCAAGTTGACACCTAAGATCTCACAAATGATCAACCTTCAGGAGTTGCACCTTTACCACTGTCCAGCCAAAGTTGAGCAGAATGCTTTCATTTTTCTCTGTGATCACCTCCGGTGCCTGCATGTCAAATTCACAGATGTTGCTGAGATTCCTAGCTGGGTATACTTGTTGAAAAATCTGCGGGAGTTGTATTTAGTTGGTAACCTGAATTCTGAGAACAACAAGCTGATTGGACTTGAGTCTCTGCGTGATCTCAGGCACTTAAAGGTTTTGCATCTGAAAAGCAACCTCACTAAGATCCCATCAAACATAACGGATCTGTCGCCACATCTGCTCAGACTGCTTATTCACAATGATGGCACGAAGCTTGTAGTGCTAAACACTTTGAAAAAAATGATTAATCTTGCAGAGCTGGAGCTTCATAACTGTGAGTTGGAACGAATACCCCACGCAATTTTCAGTTTGAACAACCTTCAGGAGCTTGATCTGAAGTCCAACAACATTCGGACCATAGAGGAGGTCATCAGCTTTCAGCACCTCAAAAGACTAATTTGCCTCAAACTTTGGTACAACAAAATTATCAGTATACCATTGTCTATCAGTCAAGTCAAAAACCTAGAGTCGCTTCATTTCTCACACAACAAGCTAGAATCTCTGCCCTTATCATTATTTGCTCTTCTCAAGTTGAGATACCTGGATCTTAGCCATAATTCCATAGCGATAATACCACCAGAAGTAGGCTTTCTGCAAAATCTCCAACACTTTAACATTGCAGGCAACAAGGTTGAGGTAGTCCCAAAGCAACTGTTCAAGTGCACAATGCTAAGAATCTTATGCCTCAGCCACAACTGCATCACCTCCATTCCAGAGAAAATTTGCTACCTCTCGCAGCTCACACACCTGGAATTGAAGGGAAACTGTCTGGATCGTCTCCCAGTTCAGCTTGGTCACTGCAGCCTCCTCCGCAGGAGCTGCCTGGTAGTAGAAGACCATCTCTTTGACTCGCTCCCTATAGAAGTCAAAGAAAAGATAAATCAGGAAGCTAGCGTTTCCTTTTCAAATGGATGTAAATGTCAAAGTGAAGGACGGTAGTAACACGACACAGTATGCATCCCATATGTAGTTACGTTTAATGTATACAGCTGAAAGAAATAGAAATTCAGCACACCTTGTAGTTTAGCCTAGCATGTAGCCTACAGGTTTGCCGCTATGTAGAGCTGGATTATAAACAATATTTAAGCTTATATAATAGGTGCCGCTGTATTGGTTTTAGTGTAAAGTGAACATGTTTAGGCAGTTTAAATGGTAAATGTGGTAAATGGACTGTGCTTTTCTAATCAAGATACTCAACGTTTTACAACACAGCGTGTGCCCTCATTTACCCATCCACACAGCACTCTACAAGATCTTTACCAAGCTAATCTGGATCTGTAGAGACTAATCTGAGCTTTAGATCACATTCATACACCGATGAGACACACATCGGAGGCTATGAGGGGTTCAGTGTCTTGTCCAGGGAGGACCAGCAGGAGTCACAGAAATTGTTCTTAAAAGACAAACATAATGTCTGTCTGATGATTAAATATAAAGCTCCAGTTGATGATGCTTTATGCATAATACATGTATACAGAGAGAAGTCTTGTTCCAATACGTGCAAGTCCTAAATTAGCAGAAAGAAACAAGTACAACTATTGGATTTCTTATCTCTAGAGTCTGCATGCAAAGCTCAGCTAACTGTCTATACAGAACCAAAATATTAACGCAGCACTTTAGTTGTGTTATTGTGGTCAGCCTAAAGCACACCTGTACAGTAATGATGTGGTCTAACCAGCATCTTTATCTGCCACACCTGGGAGGTGGATGGATTGTCTCGGCCAAGGAGAAGTGCTCACTAACAGATTTACACAAATGTGTGAACAATATTTTTGAGATAAAAGCCTTTTGTGAACATAGAGAAAGTCTTGGATGTTTGAGTTCAGTTCATGAGAAATGGGAACAAAAGCAAAATGTTTTTGCTCAGTGTAGCTAACCAAAGCTTCATATAAAGCATTGATCTTCTTCACATATCCACATAAACAAACAGAACAGTTGGTAACTTCTTGAAAGGGTACAGTTTGGACTCCTTGTTTATGGATTTATTTTGCTTGTCCTCATATTCAAAGCAGATCTTTCCAGAAGTGATATTACTGGAAAGGTCAGACCTCACCACTGTTTCAGTATTTATTGAGTACTATGCAGTCGAACTAAAATATTCCCTTCACTTTAGAATCGTAAAGTGTTGTTTGCACAGAAACTTTACTTTTGTTTTTAACCTTTTCATTGATACAACCCTGTAAACCCTTTTTACTAGACTTTGTTGAGGAAGATGGCAGAAAACAGTAAAAACTGAAGAATTTAATTAAAATTTCTTTATTCAATAAATGAACTTTTACTTTCTACCTTTTGAATATGCAAGTACAGCTACGAAAGAGTTTATTTATAATAAAATTTCTAGGTCTCTTTTTCAGGTTTATGTTTTGTAGCGTTCCCATAAAAACCTGTTTTTATTGTTTCTCGAGTCTTTAAGCGTTCCCTCGTTTTACAGCGTCTTCAACCACAAGAACAACCACAGCGTCATGTTTTGTTACCTGCAGCTTTGCTTTTATGTCACTATTTTTATTCTCAGAAACATTTTGTGTAATTTGAGTGCTTTTTCTGTTTTTGTTCACTGCAAGTTCTGTCTGATTTTAAAACCAAATATTCTCTATACCTGGTAAAATGAATAAATGCTGGAAATAAAGACAAACGTCAAACCTTAGTGCTTTTCTATATGTTCCAACATGCATACATGCATTATCTTTACCCGCTTCTTCCTTTTCGGGTCATGGGGTCACTGGTTCCCATATACAGCAGTTACTGTGCGAGAGGCAGGGGACACCCTGGACAAGTCTCCACTCCATCACAGGGACACATAGAGACAAACGAGACAAACAACCATTCACTCTCTCACTCACACCTAGAGACAATTTAGAGTTACCAATCAGCCTAACATGCATGTTTTTGGTCTGTGGGAGGAAACGAGTACCTGGAGAAAACCCACATATGCACAGAGGGAACATGCAAACTCCACCCAGAAAGATCCAGGCTGGGACTTGAACCAGGGCGACCTGAACGCTGAGAGACAACTGCTCTACCAGCTGCACCACCACCACTCCCTGTTCCAACATGTAGCTGAAATATTGAGGTCTGAAATATTTTGATTGTATTTATTATTTCTAAATTTACTTTAAGAAATAAAACGACTTGGTATTTTTTCATCACCTTGTATTTAGAAAACTGTGTGAATTAGCACCAGGACTATTAGAGGACTGTAGAGTGGGTGGATTGGGACACTGATGGATCGTACAAACAGTAGTAATGAACTGACTGAGCGTGTGTGCAACATCAGTTTATGTGAAAGGCTGAAGGAGTGCAACTATTGCAAACATCTGATTTTTATCTGTAAAAAAATAAAATACATTTTTAATTTCAAACTCATTTATTTATTTTTGTATGTGCAACCATTTAATCATTTCTTTATCTGCTCAGTCCTTTGCAAGGATCACGGGTGGCTGGTGCCCATCTCCATGAGGTGAGTCGTGGAGTGCGAACCATAGACAGGATACCAGTCAATCATCAAACTTTTTACAGTTACTGATGCACATGCTCAAAGGTAATACTTTGCAGTGTGTTGGGGTCTAGATAATATCATGCCTACTTCCAGTTTGTTGAAACACAATCTAAACGGTGTTCATGTCTACCTTTGATTCAGCTGCGCTGCAGACACCTGGCAACACTGCACGTTACTATAACAATGAAAAAATACCAATGAAACAAATTTAAAAATACACGCATGCATATATATATATATATATATATATATATATGAAGGCCTTTTAACTGTGCAAAGGTCAATAGTGTCACACAGAGACAATCATCTTCCAGCTCTAGCTGATTTAAAGTTCTCAGCTGACCTGACGAATGCTTTCACTTTCCAGAGAACTCACACATGCACAGGCAGAACATGCAACATGCAAACGTCACAGAGGTTTGAGTGACGGGGCTACGAAGGTCCCAGCAGGGAGTCAATCTGAGGACCTTCTGCTAAAACAAAGCTAACATCTGCACCTTTATGGAGACTTTTATGGTTTCCATGTGTCCTCTTCAAAAGCTATAGGAATCTAAAGACCTTGAAGTAAGGGAAAACAGCACCAGCTGCCTTTTCTGCCACAGATTTAAACTACGATTATTTTATAAAGAAAAGGATCAGATAAATCTTGTATGTACCGGTAGATACAATATTATTAAACCTGGTCTAAGTCTAGGAAATGGACTGTTGGAGCCACTTTTGTCTTGGCTAAGTTTGATTAGCTGTGGTGGACATGTTGAATCAGATCTACTCTAAAGAAAATTAGTTTTAAATGTATACCATTGGCTAATTTCTGAAAGTTTCACTAAAATCTCCTGGGTGGTTGTTGAGATAAATTAATGGCACTGAAAGGGGAAACGGGTGATGATCTGCTGTTTAGACTGCAGCGAGCTCTTGGAGAGTTCAGCATTTCAAGAGTTTTTCTTTGTGGGTTTGTTTTAGGAGACACAGTGAAGCTGAACAAACCTGACTCAACTGTACCATTAAAGATATGATGATGTGCTGCCCTCTAGTGGAAGTAAAGTGGTGGTACAACTGTTTAGAAACCATCATCCGTGAACTGTCAACATATTTTACAAAGGTTTAGCCTACATGATTGTTTGCACACTTTAGATTTACTAATAATTCAGATCAGGTTAATTTAATCTTTAAGTTTTTTTTTCTGTGAACTTTAATTTCCTCCCTTCAATGTCCAAAGTAAAAACTTATCCGAGTTATTTTTTTATTTACATTCTTACAACGTTTTTAACTACTTTTGAGGACTAGACTTTCTTTTTTAGTTACTTTTAGAAGAATATTTATTATTATGAGTTTAATTTACAAGCACAAACGTAGACATATTTCGTAAAAAAGGTCCGTATCCTGATCAGAACATTTTCTTTGACAACATGCAAATGTCTAATATAATGGGTCTTGTAGATTGATTATGGAAAGGCCACATATACATCAGAAACCTGATATCTTTCAGCTGATAATATAGTCAATAGTTCTTTATTTTTCCAAACATTTCGACATGTTCATGGTCAGTGAGGGGCTGGAGCTGTCATCAGGAGAAATTTGAGGTACACCTTGAACACATCACCTGCTTAGAACTGGACCAGTATCAACTCAACGAGCCCAAAGCTTTACATTATCTCCTACAATCAGTCCATTCACCTACCGTGCATGTCTTCAGGACGTGATGTTGACTCTCTGAAAACTTGAACCCAGTATTTAAGATCATAAACCTATGTGTTGTTTCTAACTATCCATATTTTGTATCTTCTTAAAGAACATATTTATACTTGGATGTCAAAATACTCCAAATATTAGTTGAAAATGTTGTGAAACTGAGTTAAGGAAAGCTGGGATTTAGAAATGGGAAATGTCCAGGAACCAATACTGTTAATTTTATAGATCAAGTCACCCCCTGTCTGCTGTCACTGGTGGGAGCTGAAGCCTGCTGGTCCCAGTTAATGGAAGCTGTCAAGTTGTAGTTTTGAAGCCAGAGTCTGTGCACTATGGATGTGGGGCTTTAAGTTCAATTCAATTCAATTCAATTCAGTTTATTTATATAGCGCCAAATCACAACAACGTTGTCTCAGGGCACTTTAAAGGAACATTCACAAACATAAAAGCCAATTAGTAAAGTTCTCTATCTAAGGAATCCAGCAGACAAGACGAATCTTGGTTTCGTTGCAGTCTCCCATCCTGAGCAAGCACGGTGGCAACAGTGGAAAGGAAAAGCTCCCTTTTAAAAGGAAGAAACCTCCAGCAGAACCAGGCTCAGGACAAGCAGCCATCTGCTTTGACCGGCTGGTTGAGAAGACAGGAAGGAGAGACAGACGAACATAGAATGGTAGGTCCAGGTATAGGTCCAGGTGTATCTGAAAGACACAAAACACATGTTAAGGATAGAAAAAATAATTACAAATACAAAACAGGT